TTTAAAAAAAACGGGATATTTATTTAAAAAAACGAAACTTTTAGAGAATCGGAGTTTTTGATAAAAAGGCTGAAATTCGAGAGACAAAAAAAATCTCATCCCTGTATAAAGGTCAGCCAGTTTCATCCCAAGGAAATGATTTTTAGAGAAACTTCAGAGGGAGGAAAAGGGACTTCAACAATTTCCCTCCGCGGAAAATTAAATTCCTCATAAAACATTTTAACTTGGGCAAAAAAAATTTCAGCGGAAATTAGCGGGAAAAATGGAAAAATCTGAAAAAAAGCGGAAATCCGCGAATCCGCGGAAGAATCACATCCCTGTTTTATTCACAACTCAGTATTTATGGGATCTCTCTGGTCAAAATAAACTCTCAAACATAATATCTCAAAAATAAACTCACTGTGCATAACAAAATTTTAAGTGAAAAAAAGAATTCTAAAAAAATTTATCAAGCAGCAGCGGTCGCCATAGCAACGCATGCACACTGTTTACGATTACTCTTGAACGCAGTTGAAAAAGTGTGATGGCGTCCAAATAAGGTGCGCACGTTATCAAACCCAAAACTACACCCATTTTGCCAATGGGTAAAAAAACGAGAACAAATAAATATTTTAAAAAAAAAAGAAAAATATTTTCCTATCTTCATTTATAAAAAAATAATAATAAATAGTTTTTTATTCATTTATTTTTTTAAAAAATTAGATACCGAAGAGACAGGTTAATTTTTCTAGTTACTGTTTAATTTGTCAACATAATACCTGGGCCTGAGATGGTATGGAAATAAATTTCACTCGAAGAAATTTTAAATAGGCAGAAATCAGAAGACCATAAATTGCAATTTTGTTAATTTCTTTAAAGTGAAAATAGTATACGCCTCTGTTCCTCCCCCCTCCATTTTGGCCAAACAAAATGTACAATTGTAAAAAATTAAAAAAATATAAAATCAAACATCATAAGGTTTTGTTTATAACTAACTTTATTATATTTAGTATCAGCACATAGTGCTAAATATATGTAAGCTTAATTATGTCTGCCAAATTGAGTACAGAGAAATTCAAATTTTTGACGATAGATTGACTCTGTGAATTCGGGCTCAGTAATTAATTAGCATATTTAAGATTAGGCCGTTAAAATGGAATCTTAGAACTTGAAAATCCGATCATTAGTTCCAAATTTATTCAGGGTGCGCACTTTTTAATTTTGCTCACTGTGCGCTAAGTAATTAGTTAGATACTTAAAGTATATCTCGATATCCTACTTAACTCATAAAATCAGTATTAAAACTTCAACTGTGATATAGTAATAGATATTGCCGTTGGGATAACAGCTATATAATTTTTTTTTACCAAAAGCGACACTAATAATTTAAAATACCACGACGAGTCATTAACAACGAAATCAAAGTTAAAAAATATACTTGGTATAATAGTAACAGAGTAAATTTGATGGATAATAACTTACATTTCAGAACGGACGTGAAGTCTTTCTTTTCTTCCACCATAGTTTCTAGAACGGTTAAATTTTCCAATTCTTCATTTAAAATAAATAGTTTATTCAACAGCTCGTCAACAATCATAATCACAAGCATACGATGACATATAAAAAGACGGTAGTTTTGTGTGTAAAGTAGGTTTAGCCTACCTATTTCTATCTCTAATACAAAAATAAATAAAACGACAAATATGTTGTTGTTGTAGTTCATTTACGTCGCACTAGAGCTGCACAATGGCTGAAACATCCCTGAGGATGATCCGAAGACATGCCATCACAATTTTGACCCTCTGCAGAGGGGATGGCACCTCCGCTTCGCAAAACGACAAATAAGGGAACTCTCTGGTCGAAAGATGCCTTTTTGGGGGTGGTTGTTGTTCATTTACGTCGCACTAGAGCTGCACAATGGGCTATTGGCGACGGTCTGGGAAACATCCCTGGGGATGATCCGAAGACATGCCATCACAATTTTGATCCTCTGCAGAGGGGATGGCACCCCCGCTTCGGTAGACCGACGACCTGCGCGCGAAGTCAAGCACTTTACGGTAGAACAGTTTAACGAGAACCAATACCGCACACCCTCGGTCCCTACGCAGACTGATCTAAGTGGTCACCCACCCGCTTACTGTCCGGAGTCAGTGATCTACTGGGAACTGTGTCTTTACGATCAGTTAGTACACTGCGGGACAAACAATTTTTTGAAAACCACTTCAAAAGTGAGAAATGTGACGAAAATTGCAACAATGATTTATGATAGAAAGAATTTAGTAGGAGATTAGACAAATGAATGCAAACGATGAATGACTTTTATAATAGTCAGGCATGAATAACAAGAATTTTTTTCTTTCCTTAAAAATGCAATTTTAAAAAAAAATGAAAAATTTCGAGTATCGAATGTTCCGATATGACATCTAAAATTCTCCCTGACAGTGAGCATGCCTCGCCCCTCAAAAAGCATTAGGCGCGTATGCAAACGATGTTATTCAAATAAAAAGTTAGGTCATGGATCACCCAACTATTCAAGGGAATACGAAAAAGACTTTTGTTTTTTAGAATTCTTAATTATTTTTTTTTTATATACCATTTTCATAATAATTCAATAGTTTCATTATATCTTGTGGAACATCTTTCCAAATACTTACGAAAATCTTTTGTAATTAGTCACTAAAATGCAGCGCAGTTAATTAAAGATAAAACAAAAAGCCACGTTTATAGAAAACTCGCTCTAAATATAGCGTAGAGCAGAGGTCACCAAAGGGGTCTATTTAACAAAAGCGGGGGTCGATCTGAGACAGGGGGGCGAATGGGGGTCGATCCGAATCGGAAGGGTCGGGAAAAAAAAACAGTTCTCAATACGCAAATCTCACATACCTAATTAAGTGTGTAAAATTTGTGATTTTTTTTTAATAATTGACTCAATATCAGTCTCTTTATAAAACATAAATTAATAAACGTATATTTATTGGATGAAACAAGTATTTACGTACCACCGCGCAGTGGCACGAACTCAGCACAGTTTATAAGTCATATGCATATGTGAGCTTGTCCAAATGTCACGTGTAACGAGCATTGACGTTACAAAAGCAAATATCATACGCAGTTTCAGCTATCTTTGCAAACTGTGTTGAATATTTGCAGTGTCATTATTAAAACTTTTATAGTTTTGGATAATTAGTTATTGTTTCGATAAAACCATTCGTTTGGTTTAGATATCAATTTTAATTATCAATGCACAAAAAAGAAGGTAAGCATTAAT